ATTCAAATAGGGAGTTCGGAGGAGTACAAAGCATTCTTAGCTAAAGCATCAACGGTAACATTTAAACGACGAGGAACAAAGTTAAAAGAGATAGAATCGAAGAGCTCGGAGAGGCAAGATATGTCTTCCAAGATCCCGTGAATTTCAGAAACTGTAGTGCCGGAGTTAATGGCCTTGATAAGAGTTAGGGAATCGGAGAACACCGATAAATTCCTTATGTCTTCAGCAGCAGCAACGGATAGAGCAGAACGCATCGCCATCCCTTCTGCTATTAATGGGGATGGGATGCAACCAGAGACTCTGGAAAACAGACGGGGACCGGGCCCAGATAGAGGAGAGAAGGTCCATCCAAGTCCAGCTCTCTTTGAATCTTCAGATCAAACCACATCCGTGTGACATTTAATTCCCCTGATTGGGTCGGGGGAAGACAGAGACACCAGTGGGGGAGAAACCTTGGGTTTACTCGTCTGTCCCTTATACCATTTCGAGGCATCAGCAATGGATTTGTTCAGAGTTTCCACCTCAGAAAAGGATTTGTCACTGAAAATGCTGTTGTTTCTAGCCTTCCACAGGTTCCAACAAATCCAAGGGGCCAGCAAACCCTTAGGGAGGTCGAGAGGAGGGGAGCATGAGGTATCCTTAACATCTTTCCAGAGATAGTGAAACTGTTGGTCCTGGTGGATGGAGATTGGTGGGGAGAATGGAGCGGTGTGCCACACTGTCCTCGCGAAATCACAATGGAAGAGGAGGTGATCCGTGGATTCTGGTTGACCACAGCGATGACAAGAGGGGTCAGTCCCCAAGATTCTGGAGGCAAGATTTGTACCCACAGGGAGGGCCCCTCGAGCCGCCCTCCAAAGAAATGTTTTGAGCTTAGGAGCAGTGGGTATGGACCAGATGTCAGGGATCCATCAGGGAGTTCGGAGGAACAGAGGGAGGGCCATTCCCTAATGCAGCAAAGTACCCAGATTTGGTCGTGTAAGCCCCTGATTGATCTCCTAGCCAGATCATTTTATCCTCAGCATCAAAAAGACTGGGTTTGAGAGAGTAGATTAGATCTTCAACATGAGGAAGGACCTCCCTAATGGTTTCACGTTTCCAGGATTTAGACACCGGGTCAATTAGATCAGCGACACAGAGATCCATATGCTTCTCTAGACACGGGCCACCAAGGGATAGAGGGCAAGAGGTAGAGAGCCAATGCTCTCTCCAAATGTTAATGCGTCTACCATTTCCAAGAGCCCAGCCTAGGTTCCCTCTAAGCAAGTCTCTACCAATAAGTAAACTTCTCCACCCATGGGAGGCCGATGCAGGGCATTCCGCAAGCAAGAATGAAGAAGACTTACAGTATTTACCAATGAGAACTCGAGCGAGCAGACAGGAAGGATTTGTGAGGATACGCCAACTTTGTTTGGCAAGAATGGCGTCGTTGAAGGCGGAGACATCTCTGAATCCAAGCCCCCCATCTCGTTTGCTCTGGGTAAGCTTTTCCCAGGAGATCCAGCATAGCTTTCTTTGATCCGCTTTCCCATCCCACCAGAACCTAGTAAGTGCTGATTGGATCCGCTTGCACACTGAGGTGGGGAGTTTGAAACAACTCATTGCATACGTGGGCATCGAGGAGAGTACACTCTTAAGGAGGACCAATTTGCCAGCATGTGATAAGAACCGTGAGGACCAACTGAGAGCCTTTTGGCGAATTTTGTCAACGATGCTAGTAAATAGATCTTTCTTCCGTCGACCAAAGTGCTCAGGGAGCCCCAAATACTTCCCAACACCCCCTTCCTTCTGAATTTTCAGGGCGTTCTTAACTCTGGATCGGGTTTCGATAGGGGTTTTACGAGAAAAAGTAACAGAGGACTTATCAAAGTTTATAGATTGACCAGACGCTTGTTCATACTTGTTCAGGATGGTCGAGAGAGTGGCTGTGTTGTCCTCGCTAGTGTTGCAGAAGAAGACCGTGTCATCTGCGGAAAGCAGGTGGTTGATGCGAGGAGAACCCCTAGCTACACGGATGCCACGCAAGGATCCATCAGCTTGGGCTTTCCGACAGAGTCCCGACAAGACCTCACTGCATAGAATAAACAGGTACGGGGACAGGGGGTCCCCCTGCCTGATTCCCCTCGATGGCTTGACGAAACCACGGGGTCCCTCATTGAGCAGGAAGGAGTAGGTCACCGTACAGACACAGCTCATGATCCACCCAATCCACTTCTGATGAAATCCGAGACGGGTGAGTACTGCCCTGATGAAGTCCCACTCGAGAACGATCGTACGCTTTGGACATGTCCGTTTTCACGGCCATAGAGCAGAATTTCTTTGCATTGGAGTTCTTCAAGTAGTGTAGCATCTCATGCGTGATAAGGACATTGTCCGATATGGCCCGTCCGGCAACAAACGCTGACTGGTTTTCAGAGATGAGATCACCAAGAAGAGGTTGTAAGCGCCGAGCCAGCAATTTTGATATGATTTTAAAGTATACATTACACAGTGCAATGGGGCGATAATCCGACATCCGTTTAGCTCTTTGCCCCTTAGGAATCAGACGAACGAAAGTTTCATTGCTTGAGGTTGGCAGATTCCCAGTGGAGAAGAATTCCTGGATCTCAGAGACAACATCCGATCCAACCGTGTTCCAGTTTGAGTGGAAAAAGCTAGCGGAGAAACCATCTGGTCCTGGGGCTTTATCCGCATGAGTCGAGAACACAGCGCATTTGATTTCCTCAGCCGACGGGTCGGAAATCAGCCGCATATTAGCTTCCTCGGAGACTTTACGCTCGAGAGCTTCTTCCACAATGCACGTTTTATCAGCGGCCACTGACGAAAATAGTGAATTGAAGTACGAAACAACGACCTCCACAATTTGGTTCTCACCGAATTTGGGTACGCCAGAGTCGTCTTCTATGACTGAGAAGCTGTTAATGGCTTTCTTGTTCTTGGTAATCGCGTGGAAATACCCAGAGTTGCGGTCTCCAAGGCTTAGCCAGAGGTTCCTACTGCGCTGCTGCCAAAATTCCTTCTCCTCCCTATACGCTGACTTAAGTTTAAGGTTCAGGTCGGCGATCAGTTGTCCATCGTTAGCCGGAGCCGACATCGCCTTCTCAAGGTCGAGCTTAACCGAGGTGATAGCCTTCTGGCTATTTCGCTAGTGGGCTTTATTCCAAGCAACTAAGGCCCATCTACACTTGGTTAGTTTTTGGGTCACCGAGGAGGCAGGGCCTTGGGTCCAGGTGGACTTGATGAGGGAACTAACTTCCGCAATGTGTCTGAGTCTTCTGTCATACTGGAATAAACGTTTCCCCTTCTTCCTTGTGATGTCAAAATGCGAGATGATCGGCCGGTGATCAGAGCTTTCAAAGGGGAGATACTCGCATCTTGAATCAGGAAATAGGTCGATCCAGTCACTATTTGCAAGTGCCCTATCCAGGCGGCACCTGACAAGCTGGTCGCGTCTCACCCCGCGCCAAGACAGGAAATCACCCGAGAAGTTGAGGTCCTAGAGGTCACCTTCCGACAGGAACGACCGGAAGTCGATAAAGGTACCTTCGGCTCGGGTCGAGCCGCCCTCCTTTTCAGAATTGTTGACAATATCATTAAAATCCCCGGTAAGAAACCATGGGGAGTCTCGCAGCGAAGCACAAGAGAGGAGGGAGTCCCACACCGCTTTTCGTTTTGATCTCTCTGGGTCACCATACACCAGAGTGATGTACACAATTTTTCCTTCATATAGAATCCTAGTGTCAATGAAGTTGTCACATGACGAGATTACCTCTAGCTCGAGGTCAGCTTTCTAGAATAAGGCTAAGCCACCTCCGCAAATGTCATGAGGGGGAATCAGGTGATGATTACTATACTTGAGACTTTTTAATTTATCAAGAACAACAGAGTCAGGGTTCTTAGTCTCTGAGAGGAAAAGGATTTCTGGGTGAAGCTTGCGCCGGATATCCCGATGACGTTGGACTGTCAAGGGATTCCCCAATCCTTGACAGTTCCAACTTGCCACTTTTAAGGACTTGGATTTGACGGTGGGTGAAAATCCACCGATCGGATCTTCGACTTGGAGCTTGAACGAGGTGCAAAGGGAATCACAGGAGGTTTGGGAGCTCGGGATCTAACTTCACCAAGTAAGTCTTTATCGCATGGGGCTCCAAATTCCTTCGAGATCATTCGCTCACTACCCCGCGACGAGGAGTCTACTTGCATCTTCCGGCGAGGGGGTTGGTTTCTACGCACCTTCCTTATTTTGGCACTTGTACCCACCACCGGAATGGGGCTTCGAGGGGGCTTTTGAGATCCGGGTGGGCGTCCTGGCTTTCGCTTTGGAGGGATGGAGGGGGCAGAGGAGCCTATTTCCACACCACAAGACTCACGAGTCTCTGGATTTATAGGTCCTAGACGGAGAGATGCAGGGACCCTCTCGAGCCGGGGCGGAGGGGAGGCAATATCTCGGTCACGGGAGGCCAAACTAGTTTGAGCCATCTGAACTGCGGTTTCCAACAGTTACCCTGATTCCTCAGCTTGTCGGAAGCGTTCTTTGCGTGCTGCACATTCTGTCGGATCAGGGACATTAGAGTAGTTGGTCATAACATCCCTCAGCTCCTCTATTGCAACATTGACAGCCTCATGGGGAGGAGGCGGAGTTGATGGATTGTCTCCCTGAATGGTAAGGGATTTAGATGGTCTGGAGGATTCAACTCGTTCCCAGTTCCCGGCAGCATCAGCTGCTAATTCCCTGAGGCGTGCTCGCTCCGCCTTACCAGGGCGCATAGAAGATCCAGAGCGAGCGGCCGGAGCAGTGGAGGACCTCCAAGAGTCCAGACTGGCTTCCGAGCCCGCTATGGTGGGGAGTGTTCGGTGTTCACCGCGAGGAATTAGGCTGGGAGGTCCATTAGAGGGGGTGCAGTTGCTTTTGGGTGGACGAGAATAGTCAGGTCGCGGGTCAATCCAATCCCGGCGAGGATTAACACCTTCACGGTGGGCCTGGTTTTTCCGGATTCTTTCTATGTCCAGTCTCGCATCCTTTGAGACCAGTAGGTGTTTTTCCGGGTCCTCGTGTCATTCGAAGAGAGAGAGGGGAACTCCGTGCATTCTTTATCTTCATGTGTGAGCATCATACACTTGGAGCAATATCTCTCTAACTTTTCATAGACTAGAGAGGCTAGAACTTCCTCCCCATCTAGGTACTCCACAATGGAGGTGGTGACAAGTGGTTTAATCCCATTGATGTGAACCCTTACTCTGGCCGAAATGGAGGTTATCTCCACTTCTTCACAGAAGCCTAGAGAGTCACCCAGACTTTGGATAGTTTCGTGGGTCCAGAGATGAACTGGGAACCTTTGGATCTGGATCCAGAACGGAATGAGGGAGGGAAAGGACCTGGAGACCATGGGCTCCCAGCGTTGGATTATGAGCATCCATTTGGCATAATGGTAAGGTCTGTTTTTGAGGATGAGTTGCACATCGTCCTCGTTGTCGAATTGAAACTGGAAAAGGCCTTGGCCTAGGTCAGCACCTATCGGACGAACAGAGGTTTTCCAGCGGTTAGTGAAGAAAGGTACGATAGACCACACCTTCTGATATTTGGGGTTCGTGACTCTGCCTACGAGTGTCAAGGAGTACTTCATCAAAAGAGCCGAGTTATCCGAGTTTTTCACTTTGACTCGTATCGATCTTGGATCAGGATTCCGGTTTTCCATCGCTTTTCCTTTTTCTTGGTACGTTAAACGCTGAGATATATTGAAAATTTGTAGGTGAGGGTAGACCTCAAAGGGAGCGAGAAGGAAGCTTTACGTTGGTGAGCTGGGATAAACCCGGAGCTACTGGTGAAGACAAATCTTCGGGGAGGTTCTTCGGAACATGGCTAGGCGGAGCTGAGGCGAACCCGCCGACAACGGTTGGGGGTAGAACCCGGAAAGGAAGGAATCAGAGTGGTATGGGTTTGAAAAAACTTACTAAAACAGGTAAAACAGGTTAGAAAAAGGTCGCTATCAGCCAAAAATCAGACAGATAGAACTACCTAGGGGAATGTGCCTGGGAGAGAAACTGTTTACAAGTTCTTATAATTCAAACTAAAACTTAAATTCAGAACTGTTCTTCTTATATAATAGACTTTAAACCTAAGTTTCTACTAGTATTTATATGTAACGATCATGTGAAAATAAAGTTTATCGGACTATCGAAATACCTCTTATATATATCAAGCATCAAGTATAAGTATAACGGTATAACTATATGCCAAAAGAAAAAAAGATGCTGATAACCTACAAATCGTTTTCATTTCTCTACTCATAAATTCATAAATTTTAAAAGAGAGAAATATACTTCGTTTATCTAATCGCATTACTAATAGAGATGAGAGATGATCTTAAATGAAATCATCAAACCTATTAGTTTATGGCTCACCGATCACTATTCCCGTGTGGAAGCTTATCTACAAGTTTTTATTCTATTAATTGATTATTTTGTTTCATTTAGGATCATTTGTGAAAACCTAAGTGAACATAATCAAACATTATTCATGACTAACATTATCAAAACAACACGCCCAATTTTACAGCTCATATCTCCTGTTTTAATGTGATTTGTAAACTATGAGAAACTTTATCATAAGTGGGAAAAAGAAAAGCAAAATAAATTTAGAAAGAAGGGTGAAAACATAATTACTATTTAAGAAAATTAAGTGCCATTTTTTAGTCAACTTTGAATGTTAGGTGTTTGAATTAAGAACTTCTAGAAGTTAGCCAACTGGTTTATAGTGAGATTAATCGTCAACTCCAACCAAAACGATTCTAATGTTCAATCTTCCCCTACGTGGCGTTATTTGAGTGGATCAGATCCTCTGTTATGTGCGTACTTCTACACCATATTGTCCGGCATACTTTCTCCCTAAATCGAACGTAACAATCGGCGTATAATCCTCTGTATTTTCTTATTTCTGAATTCATAATTATTTCTTTTGTCAAAAAAGGAGAAAACAAAACTCTATATAACTATATCTTGTGATTCGTAATAAACGTTGGATCGATAATGTTTCGTGCATATTAAATCAAAGTTATTTATTCGAAAAAATATAATATATAAGTCTATCTCTCCAAAAACAAAGGTAGTTTTTCACACATTATTACCAACCTAAAATAGTAGGTTTTTTTATCAACCTATAATGAAGCTATTACTTCGTCCATTTTAAAAAGGAGAATTGAATCAGTAATTTGAGGTAATTTTATGTATTCTTCAAGTATCTTCTTTCAATGGATCGTTTTATAAAATGTTTCAATAAGCTGTCTTTTTAAATATAATATTTATTAAATAAATAAGTGATATATGTAATTCGTAATGCTAAATGAAGTCAGAAATCCAAACTTTTTATCACAAGTATATGTTGTTCAGTATAAACATAGATTAAAATGACCGAAAATGTAAGTTTTTCAATGTTTTTGGGTTAGTTTGAATTTTCAGAACTCTAAATGTAATGTTTAAGTAAGACAATAGGAGGTGAAAGCTATAGATATAAAGGGATAAGAACGCTGAACGTTCGATCTAAAAATCGTGCATCCTTTTTGAGTTTTTTTTATATAGAAAATATATTTTTTTTTTTTTTTTGACAACTTCATATAGAAAATATTTTAACGAACATAAATTCATAGACACAGATTGTGTCACACAATGGATAGGGCTTGCAAGAATGGATGAGAACAAAATGCCACGTGGGATGAGGATAGTGGCTCTTGGGAAGGGGCAAGGTCAGTTTTTATTGTAATAACCGGCCTGTCTTAAATTTAATTTAATAAACATATCCCTTTGACGACAAAGCTAGATTTGGTCCGGTTATTTCACTTTCCACGTAAGATTCATAAAAAAACATAAATCTGCCTACATGGAACAAAAAGTAGTCTTGTTTTCCGGGATTACAAACAAAAGCAACCTTATAATAAGGTCACTTTTTCAGGAAAAAATAGTAAAAATATTATAATTTTATACTATGTTCTTGGCGACATTATATATACTGATATACAATATGTATATGTATATCACGGACAGTGGTGACCGTCGGTCCAACTCGTGATTTATAAATACAACATCGATCTATGTTAGTTTCTAATGTTAAACCTAGTCGGCGATATAAAATGTTAAAACAAATACATTTGCATTCTACATACTGTATGCATACGAGGGATATATTCTAGTTGAAGAAAACAAAAATTCCGATTGCATTTCTAAATTGTAAAATATATGTATATTCCTGATATTCTAAACCTTACGATTCAAAATATGCTAAAAATAGAAAAATCAAAACAAAATACACAATTTTACGAAGAGTTTTCTTTCTAATAAAGTAACACCAAATCGTCCAACTACATGAATTGTTAGATATCTGTTGATAGTCAAATACTATTTCAGGAAGTTTCTTTCTAGTATGATTGTTCAAGAAGAGAAATCTGTAGAGAATTTATATGTTCGTTATAAAAGTACTGTTAAGATTAATCCACTTTCGGATTTTTATCCAAAAATGCTATTTTCCGTCACAAAACAGATAGCAAAAATATTAGGTGGCTGACAAAGAAAAAGGGCAACAAAAAAATCTCGGTGAAACAAATCACTCGTTAGAGCGTGTAAGATAAAAATGGAGTATTTGTGAAAATGCCACGTAAGCAATAATAGGTTGAGTCTAGGACCCACCTCCAAGGCTATATATTCAGAAATGTAGCAAAGCTTCTTCTTCAATATTCAAATTAAAACACCCAAACACGACACATCTCTCTCTCTCTGTCTTTCTCTCTCCAAAAATCTCTGTTTTTTTTTTCATCTCTCTGCAATTAATGGAACCTGTCCTCGTCGCGATGGCCGTAACCGCCACAACAGAAGACGACGGATTTTCGTTAATCACCGATAAAACCTCATATAATCTAACTGCGTCCGACGTTGACATCGTCACCTCCGGCAACCGTCGGATTCCGGCTCACTCCGGTATTCTGGTAAGATTGGTTTCTTTTGATTAATTTCGGTCCGGCTTAAATAATCTCCGGTTTGGTTTTTGCTGAAATTAGTTGGATAATGCAGGCTTCGGCTTCACCGGTACTGATGAACATCATGAAGAAACCGGTGAGACGTTACAGAGGCTGTGGATCTAAGAGAGCCATAAAAATTCTTGGCGTTCCATGCGACGCCGTTTCAGTCTTTATCAAATTCCTCTACTCTTCTAGGTTGGTTCATGCAAGAAAATCAAACCCATAATATCTTTTTATTTTTTCTTTATTTGGTTTCAAAATTTAACAATATTCTCTACTCAGATTTTGAAATAATCAACGGCTAATTAAGTAATTAGTCTTAATAAAAAGCTATAAATCTTAGAGACTTAAACCGTGTTTTCTTTGGTCGTTGCATAAACAAGCTGTCAAGTAAATGACTTAATTACCCTTTTGTGTATCATTGCACAGTTTAACAGAGGATGAGATGGAGAAATATGGGATTCATCTTTTAGCGTTAGCTCACGTGTACATGGTGACGAATCTGAAGCAGCGATGCTCGAAAGGCGTTGTACAGCGTTTAACGGCGGAGAACGTAGTCGATGTTCTCCAGCTGGCTCGGCTATGCGACGCTCCCGATGTTTGTCTCCGATCCATGCGTCTTATCCAGTCGCAGTTTAAGACCGTTGAGCAGACCGAAGGATGGAAGTTTCTTCAGGAACACGATCCTTTCCTCGAGCTCGACATTCTTCAGTTCATCGACGACGCCGAATCGGTAATTTTCTTTTTCTTATTTTTGTAATACAAAATCTCTGTTTTTCTAAATTTCTAAAAGTAGTACTTTTGGTTTGTTATACTCTGTTTGGTTTTTAAGGTTGTCATAAAAAAAAATCTTTTTTTTGTTTGTTTCTGTTCTGTTTGGTCTAGATTTGGTTCGAACTTCGATGTTATATCAAAGACAGTTGAACCTATAAAATTAAAATATGTGACAAAAAACCTGTACGAATTTAATAGATATATTCAAAATGATGTTTATTCGATATGCTATAAAACTAAGATTATGAAATAATTTTGGTTTAATTCAGTTAGTTTTTTTTCTTACTATTTATTTTGGTTTAATTCAGTTTTTTTTTTGAATTACAATTTAGTTAGATTTATACACTTAATTGATCCCAAAAAATTTGGTTGTTTTCTAATTGGGTGTTGGATGATACTTTAATGCAGAGGAAGAAAAGAAGACGACGACACAAAAGGGAGCAGAATCTATACATGCAACTAAGCGAGGCAATGGAGTGTATAGAGCACATATGCACCCAAGGTTGCACTTTGGTCGGTCCAACAAACGTAGTAGACGACAACACGTCAACGATGGTGGAAAAGTCAAAGCCTTGTAAGGCGTTTTCCACGTGTTACGGCCTCCAGCTTTCGATACGTCACTTTGCTGTATGCAAGAGGAGGAGTAACGAGAAAGGTTGTCTTCGTTGCAAGCGGATGCTTCAGCTCTTTAGACTCCATTCTTCTATATGTGACCAACCCGAATCTTGTCGCGTCCCTCTTTGCAGGTACTTTTTTCTTTGTAGCGTTTTATTTAGGAATCCCACATTTTGAAATTAAAATGAACTAATTTGTTATCAATTAGTTTTGAGTTAATTTAAAATTCAAGAGTCTTCAAAATAAAGACCAACACACTGAATATATGTTGATAGTGAAAAAAAGAGACAACTGGTTTAATTAGCTTTATATTGTCCCTTAATTGTAGTGGCCCACCAGAAACTTTACAAATTGCTGTGAGAATTGATGATGGATTGTTGGGTGGATATTTGTATATATTTAGAACCTCATGTGTCTTTGTCAAATTTTTTTGGGAGCAGGCAATTTAAGAAAAAGGGAGAACAAGACAAAAGGATGGGTGAAGACACCAAGTGGAAGATTCTGGTGAGAAGGGTTGTGTCTGCAAAAGCTATGTCTTCGTTGTGTCAGTCAAAGAAGAACAAATGTGAAGGAGAAGCAGAAGGATTAGTCAGAATCAGGAAAGAATTCTGTGTGTAGATAGTAATGAAGATTAAGTAATTAGGAAGCTTTCTTAAAATCTTATTTTGGTTTCGTTTTGTAGTATGGTCGGAAAAATATGAAGGGTATACAGTTATATACCCTTAGAGGGTTTAGTTTGTAGATTAGTAAACCCTTTTAAATTGGCAATATGTAGGTCACATTTGTTTGTTCATTTTACATCATATGTCAGCATGTACCACAGTTAAAAGGAATGTTCTTGACTTAAAAGGGTGGTTTATAATGTTGTACGTGTAGTTGCAAAAATTGATACTGTAATGTCAAACGACCAATTAGTTGGGATAATAAATCTTAACACCTAATGTCTGAAATTTTCAGATTTAAATTATTTAACTAGAAAAAAACTTAGCGAACATGTTTTGTTAATGCTCGATGGTCGGTTCAAGGCTGATCGAGTCCAACCCAAATGACGCCGGATCAAGCTTCCATGCACGGTACTAATTCACATGATTGAGTTAACATCGCTTTAATTCAACAATATGATTTTTTGTTTTTCATTTTTTTGGCTATATGGATACAACACACCAAAGTCGAAATGTGAGGTAAGGTCCTTTGAAAATTATAATTAGTCAACTATGTTTTCGGCATAGCTTAAATATATGTTGGCCCATATGTAAGTACTATATGGACATCAAAATCGTCACAATTTTTGATTAGTATTCGCACTCGAAGTCAATTCGGTAAATGTTATTAAAGGGAGCTCGGAGATTCTTGTTAGATAGAGGCGAGCTCGATGTAATTTAAACGAGATCTATTGATCGAGGTCTAGTAAGCGAGGTGAGAGTTAGCGCTTTTAAGTATCAAGTATTTAGTCTTTTTTCATATTACGGGTCCCGTTATAAATGAAGTTACAGGGCTATTTATAGTGTTCAAATTAAGTTACAAGTCGGTCAGAGTAGACTGGACGGCTGGGTAGATAGACCTGACCGACCGGCTATTAGAATGTCGCGCTGGCGAGCTGTTTCATCTACATCAACGTGGCGAGCTGCTCCTTCAATTTGCGAGGAGTTCATCTTTTGAACGACCTCATTTTAGTTTGGCGACTGGACCCTTGTCTACTTTTGATCTCATTGGACTTTAGCAATCAGATAATGGGCTTGATCGAAATTACTAAAGGGGGGCTGTGCTCAGCCCACATACAACAACAATGGAAGATGAATATAGCATAAATATGTAAGTAAGAAGATGCCACATGTTCCAAAGGAAAGAAGAATCCATGAAATATATGATATAAAAGCACATACAACAATAAACTCCAAGAGTCGGATCACCATATCACATATATAATATCTTCCACAATATAAGAATCGGTGAAGTCTCATCTTCATGACTCATAAAAATCTCTAGAGCTCGTCTTTAACATCATCAGGAGCTACTGACTCATGTGTAGTAGTTCCTGCAGAGGAACTAGAAGAGAACTTGATGGGATAAGAAGCCTCCATAGCTATACCGCAACGTCCTTCATTTTCAGATATTCCTCTTTCTATCCGAACATAGCCTCCTTCTCCCCATTCTGCTCCCCATGAGTTTCTCACTATCCAATACTTTATTCCGTTTTCAGTCTCTCCATACCCGACAATTGCCACCCCGTGGCTTAACTGCGTCCCACATTCTCCCGTGAACACACCCTATGATATAATACATGCACATTCATATACAAAATCGTGAAAAATGTTATTCGTTCTGTTTCCTTAAGATTTGATGTTTTATATTTTTGTTTTCTTCACATGTATTAAGAAAAGATGAGAAATCACTTAATATTCCATATGAAAAATTATGAAAATAGTCTAAGTTCTATAACAATATAAGAAAATAATATTTCTAAATTTTTTAACAAAGTAGTACCCCATGAGCCCTATAGATGTTAAAGTCTAAGAGCATCTACATCACGGGATCAAGAGGGGATCATGACACAGTTTTTGAGACAAAAGAGCTTAATATTGAAGAGACAGAATCATCCCGACAAATCTGAAGAGACAGTATCATCCCAAAATAGAGTATTCTGATTGGTCGAAAATTATAATTTTCGAATTAAAAAAAAAAGAAAAACTAAAACCAAAAAAATATATTATTATATTCTGGTGAATCCCTCTTTTAAGGGTTCACTGATGTACATGCTCTAACCTAAACCTTTTTCTTTTTAACAGCTAAATACCTAAATCCTAAAATATATTCTTAACTCAAAAGTTTCAACAAAATTATATATTTCCTCTTTTTTTTTTTGAAAAACTTAACCTATATTTAATTTAATTATAAAGAGAGTTTTTTCCTTTTTATAATCATAATTATAATTATCCCTTGTGTGCCATAGATAGATATAATTATATATAAAAAAAATTAGTAAGCAATATCTGCACAATTTACAGAAGTTAACCATCTTAAATTTATTAATGAGCTGATTAATTATGTCTTTCTTTCTTTAATTTTACAACAAACAACAAAGGTCTTCCTATTTCATGGTTGACTAATGATTACCTCAGAGTAAAGCTGAAAATCGGAGCTCCCAGCATCAATAGCTACAGATACAGGCTGGTGGGCAACAGCTTTGAGAAGTGCTTCCTCATCATTCTCAGGGACGTGTTCGTGTCCATCGATCGTTACAGTTTCTCCCTCAATATTTTTAGCTCTGCAGAATCCAATGTCATAAGGATTGTAAGGATATGTCTCTTCAGTTTTGATGCCACCATTGTTCTTGATGAAATCAAACGCAGGCTCCATGAGACCTCCAGCACAACCTTGGTTCTCTTCATTGTCACAATCAACGAGCTCTTGTTCTGACAATGAAACCAGTTTGTTTGTCCTGATCTTGTTTATTCCTTCTACTGCTGCAACCGTAGAGAATGCCCAGCAACTTCCTGGGACATTGTTGGTTTCTAAATTAGTAATTTAATAAGGAAAAAAAAGAGTCAAGAATATAAAGCATCTCAGATTCTGCTCAGACCTTTCACCAAACATTTAACTTAAAATGTTTAATTCAGTTATCTGTTGACATAATAACAAAAATCTTGTGATGAATTTAAATTACTCAAAATAAGAAAAAAAAACTGAAATCTTTAAATCTTTCAGTCGTTGACAAAAAAAAAATGAAATCTTTCAATCAATCAGAAACAGAGCAAAAACAGAACAACATAAAGCAGAGACCACACAAATGTCTAATCTTAGAAGACTTATTTATATCAGATGCTCATAAAAGTGCAAGAAATCTAACACCCATAGAATTTTTAGATTCAGTATAAAATCCGGAGAAGTCTTTTGGGCTTATTAAGACCTCTTACCACAATCTTGTTGATTCTTGACATCAGTGACAGCTCCTTTCTCTCTCCAGTCAACAGAGATCGGAACTCCGGTCACATTTTCATACATGAAGCCACCGGATCCGCGTTTGGGTCCACGGAGCATCCGGTGATGCTTAATATTAGAGCCAGCGTAGGAGTTTCTAAACTCGTGGTGAGTTATGTCGGCGAATCTATTGATCTTGAGTTTGTAAGGCTTGTTTTTCTTGTTAGTCTTGTGTACATGAAGCACATTGTGTCTAAAAACGTTGAACCGCTTTATTGCCTCGTGGGAGGCTCTCGATACGGAGTGATGGTTTCTCCACCTTTCATAGAGCTTCGATAAGCTCTCTTCGGTCTCTAATTCCTTTTCATGGAAATCAAATTCTTGGGATGCTTTGAGGAGGAAGAGAAAAGAGAATAGGATCAAGATAAGTTTCATTTGCTTAGTTTCTTCCTATTGTATATTTTTGGTTATGTTTTATGTCTTTTGTGGTATATATATATATATATATATATGCTTGATGAAATGATTAGCGATGGGAACATTATGTATATATATATAAATATGTGTACATAGATCTTTTTTTTTGCCTTAGTGTATTGACTGATTTCAATATTTTTTAGAAAATATTTAAACATACATGTAAATTTTTGTAACAAAATTGTACATGTAGTACTTTTTTTATTTACGTTACGATTTACAATTTACGGTTTGTAGTTTCTTCAAACCAAAGACTATAAAATAAGTAAATAATTATTGGGTCTCCTGGCAACGGGAACAATAAAGCCTTTCATTTTGCCTCAAATTTTCCTAACGAAAGGCTGTGTGTATGAGAATGAACTAATTGAGAAAGTTGGAGGGTGAAAATTAAGATCGTGCGTGGGACGACAAAAGCAAGAATGAGTACGTAACACAGAACACGTGAAACGCAACGAACTTTATGATATAGAGAAAATTGTTGAATGGGATGTTTTTAAGTTTTAAATTTGGGGAATAAGATGTTTTGAAAACCATAGAAGGAAAGAACTGTTTTTACTGTTTGTCTTCCCATAAGGGCTCTTAGGCAAATTTTATTTTTAGAATTGCCATTATCGAAGTAAAATAATTAAAAATTCCTGATTAAATCCGATTTCGTAAACCGATTACACAAAATTATCAACCGAAGTCCAATATCATAAACCGAAGTAAAACCAAATGTATAATTTATCGACACCCAACATTTAAAATAAAAAATTAATTTGGGATCCACATCTGGACGTCGTCTATCTACCATCTCCGGCAATCCATCTCCGATTAGCCATCCGATTTACCGTTGTAATGGCGCGGAAAGTTAAAAAATCGTTAAGGCGCAACAACACCGTGCCTCCGGTGTCGAGGCGCGTGCTCCGGAGTAACTCGAAGACAGCTCCGACGGACCACTCGCCCATGCCGCCCGTGCCACCGCGGCGGAGTGACCGGGTTGAACATCCCATTCACTCGAGTCGTCTGAATCCACGCCGGCGGTGTAGAGCCAAAGTACAATTCGCTTCTCTTCTTCTAGAATGGCCTGCTCAGAATTCTAAAAATAAGTTACATTTATGAACTTCGACCTTGTCTGAACTGTACTGGCGGTTTGTAATTAAAATTAAGATTGAAACGGGGCGCTGATTGGCTTCATTTATGGATTAGCGGTTATGAACTGTAGTACTTATGTCTACATATTGATTTCAAACGGTTGGATTACTCTTATATCATCTAGAAACAGTTACAGAAGTTTTTATAGGAGAGCATACGAATAGGGTAGTTTTCCCAGATATATGTTCTCTCTTTCGAACTCCTTCGAACTCCTTTCCCTCAAACATTTCCCCTGGGTTTGCATTTCACTGTTTATCCAGAATACTATATCTTTTCGTGCATTTCGGAATTGTTGTTTTCGTTCAAATACAGGAATGGAAGACGGAGAACCTTCAAATACAGGCATGGAAGATGGAGAAGCTTCAAATAACATTTCGGAAAAACTACCAAAAAGAGTCCTCGGCGATGGTTGCTACCCCGTTGGTGCTCGGTTGAACATATATTTAAAGGCCAATGTAATTGGCCTCCTTGTCAAGGCGTTAAAGGGTACTGAAGATCTTGAGAAGCTACTTCATTCCCAGTTTGGGAAGTTATTCCATCTACTGTTGCAAGATGTTGCAACAGCGCCAAACTTGTCCATGCCCTTCTATCACGAAAACTTGTGACCACGAAGAAACACGAGATTTGGTTCCTCTTTGGTGGACAGCCTCTGAGATATTCGATACGGGAGTTCAAGGAAATCACTGGATTGAATTGCAATCCCGAACCTGATAGCACAGAAGAAGTCGGGAAAACAGGAATCTGGAAAGACCTGTTCGGAAGAGCGAAGGCTATGAACGTGTATGATGTGCTTGAAATGCTAAAGGACCCAGATCTACCCCGATGGAAACGGCTTCCATTGGCCCTAATCGTTCTTGTCGACGGTGTTCTGTTTTGCAATAGCAAAAATCTGGCCCTCACCGAGAAATACGTTGAGATGTTGAGTGACTTGGATAGGTTCATGCTGTATCCATGGGGGAGGGTATCCTTTAACAAAACAGTATCTCATTTTCAAGCTCCGAAGGCAAGCACGGATGCCGAGAAAAGGGAGAATCTTGTAACACGATTGCGCCGTCAACTTAAACAGAAAACCAGTGCATGCTATGGATTCCCTCTATCACTACAACTCATGGCCCTCCAATATATACCAATGTTGGTTTCCAAAATTCCTCAACCTGATAACTTGAAGACATTCCTTGAAGATCCCGAAGGCTGTCAAAACGTTATCACACTGTTATCTTGGGGACATACATGCCGTCGAATCCGACCCTCTGGTAAATTATTTGTAGTATTATATTTAGTACTATTTGTAGTCTTATTTTGTAGTACTTCTCTTAAAAGATAAATGCTCTGTCATTTTGGTTGGTAATTTTGCAATTGTATATTTTTTGTCTTAGTTGTCTGTGAAACAGATGGTAGTGGATGATGGTGAGAATTACCAACAGAATGAATTGCGTTGGGGAGATGAGGTAGAGGATGACGAAGTTGCATTCATGCAGGAACTCATGGCCGAGGGGTACAAATTCACACCTTCGGATTTTGTAGTGGCACCGGCACCTATCGTGGATATTAGTGATGCAGAGGACGAGGTTACCAATGAACAGGAACCTGAGCCATCCACCCGACTGAAAAAGAAACAGAAAACCCATCAAACTGAAAAAACGTAAGATGCAGAGGAAGAGAGGCAGGGTCAAGAACTCTTCTAATCTATCGGAAGATGAAACACCTGAAAGTGGACAGATTAAAGATCTTAAAAGATGGATAGTACTTCAGAATACTTTGCTTCTTCGTGAGATTAAGACCGAGTTGGACAAGAGATTGGGCGTATACCAAGAGGACGAAGAAGATGACGATGTACACCAGTCAAAAGAAGATGGGGAACAGGATGACGAAGGACAGAATACAAAAAAAGATGGTGAAAAAGCGGATGAAGACGAAGCCGAAGATGGAGGGGCACAGTCAAGCGTACGCCATAATGATGGTGTACACCCCGAAGATGGTGTACACCAGAAAGAAAGAGATGATGAAGAAGGGACCTCTAGTTACTACGGCGGTGACCATTATTCTCCCAGGGACCATGCGTACTTGAAGACTCCAGAAGCTCCGACGATGACCCCTGAACCGGGACAAGCCAATTCAGGAACAACTCGTCCACCTCCTTACTTCGTCATTCCGGATGAAATTCCACCTTCTGGCCTCAACGAGGTGAGCTAATTGTTTAGTCAGCAGCTGACTCTATTAAGTTTCATAATGTGGGTGTAATGTGCTATGTTTTTTATGACTTATTCAGGTGGATGGTGGTAGAACAAATTTGGTGTCAGGCCCCTTAGTAGTCTACAAACCTCAGACTCCTCACCCATTGAGCTACGCATATAAGAAACATGAAGCGCAGACAGATGCGCAGGATGCACAGGTCAGGCATTAAAGTTGTTCATATGATATGCATGTGTATACAGTAGTGTTTAGGTATACGCTAGGTATACGATTGATATGTTATACGCTTTATTGTTACGGTGGTTTGTAGGGTGTGGCTAATGAGGACGACTCAAATGCGGGGAAAGATTACCATACTGCGCCTGAGGATGCAAGTGATGCTTCGCAGGAGACCCCTTGTACTCCAAAACCCCCACAAGAAGTTGAGGGATCGTCTGGTGTAAGGAGAACAAGTGGAGGAACAGGAAGAGGACGAAGAGGTAGAGGAACAGGAAGAGGAGGAAGAAGTAGAGCAAAACGCGCACGTGTACGGTCGGACAAGATTCGAGATATTTACACCGCTGATTCAAAGGTGAAAGCTCTATTTGTATCCAGATCGAAAGCTGCGTACAAACCACTCGAAACAGTTGACCAAGACCACTTCAAGGCATTTCAGGAGTTATTATCGCGTGAAAGAAACATGTAAGTTATATCGTATTGAAAGAAATTTATCCTTAAACTTTCATTCTAATCAATTACCAATTGCTCTCATTATAGCGACTTTTGCATTGTCACTGGTCATACTGTGAACAATCAATTCTTCCTACAAATTGCGAAGCCTACTGAGTGGGTTAACACGATGGTAAGTATATAGTTAGTACTTACTCAATCTTTAATTATTTGTATTATATGTTATTTATGTTTTGTTTTTCGTCAGCACATGCAAGTCATAATGGACATGCTTTGGAGACGTAGAGGTGAAATATACTTGAAAGACAGGGTAGCATTTGTAGACACCTTGTTCATATCCATCATCGGCAACTACTACAACGATTTCATATCGCGAGACAAAAATCAGTATGACTGGGGGAAAACCATTCAGGGTATTGTATTGGGAAAACCAGCAACGTGGGCTAATCAGCGGCCTAGGCAAATGTTTTTACGGTTTGTGGACGTTGTATACGTCCCCATGAACTTGGGGTCTGAGCATTGGGTGGGCCTTGTAATTGACTTTAAAACGGGCAACATAAAGATTTTGGACTCATTCATCAGTCATAATGATGAAGCCGTTGTGGAGCAGTATATGGCGCCCGTGTGTCAAAGTATGCCATTTATATTGAAGCGTTATTTGGATAGCAAATTAACGGAAGGCCTACGCACCACCCCTTACACATGGAGTCGTTTGGAGGGCATATATCAGAACAAAAGATCCGGTGACTGTGGTCCATGTGCGGCCAAATTCTTAGAGATGCATGCTGCAGGCCTTGGAGTGAAGGATATGGGTTTGATAACGGACGATGACGTTGACAGGTTAAGGGAGAAATACGCCATGGACTCATACGAAGAGTTTGTCGGGAATCCGGCTATTGCCAACGCTTAGGACGAATGTTGAAGTTTAATGTTGAACTTGACAATTTATGCAAGGGTTATTTGTTGGATTATGTGTTTGATAATTTTTAGGATGTGGGTTTATTTGATAATTTATATGCTTATAATATTGTTTACTTTACTATCTATTAATTGGTGTGTCGATTATATAATTTGCTTATAATTTAGTTTACTTTAATAATTGCGTATCCGTACACCTAATAGCGTTTAGTTGTACACCAATATGCATCAAATGGGAGTACATAAAGACAAATTTGTTTATACTTCACATTATTTTAGTATTTATTAATTGTTGTGTGAATACCTTGTTCCCGGCTAAATATGTACCTGTACACCAATATCCATTTACGTGTACATCAACTGGGTGTACAACAAGGAAATTTATGGTTTATCCACTAATTTTACAAACTCATTTACAATCTTAACGGTAACTGCATTTGATGTATACGGTTATTTAGTGGGCTTTTTTAATTATTATATATATGTAACATAAAGAACTGTTCCGCTTCACAAATCCTAAACCGCAGTTATTCCATCCCCATAAACAACCGTTTTCATCACAATTGAACCTCACAAATTAACTATGGCACCAAAGAGAGGGCAATGTGATGCGGATATCCGTGATTGTCGTCAATCCCCTCTGATGGCGCTTCCCGACGAACTATTGGAGAAGGTTCTCGCATACAGTTGCAACTCCGTCCAACAAATTTTCACACTGAAGCAAGTTTGCAAACGGTTCCAGGCCTGCACTTTAACCAAAAATTTTCTAGCATCGGTTGATCCCGTGGAATTGGAGATGCCTATTCCCGAAGATTTCGATATGCCTTTTATCGCGTATTGGGAATTTCCCAACTTGTTGAGGACGATGTATGACGCACGCAATCCTGGTTTGCTGTTCATGAAGGGAATGCAAGACTACTTCTGCCGAGGAGACAAATGTGGCATAAAACTCATCAAGGAATCTGCAGATATGGGATACGAAACAGGTATTTACATGTATGGCATGTACATGAAAGCAGTGGTCGAAGACCCCGTGGGTTTAGAGTATCTTTCAAAACTAGGCAGGGGGCAATGAGGAGAATAATTCGGAAAATTATTGATGGAGGTGAACGTGGTTATGTTAATTTGCCAGAAGAGTTCTCGAGGAGGAGATTTGAGACTAATGCTCAGTTTGCCACACTTTGGTCTTGTCGCTGTGGTGTTGCCAATGCTCAACTTGATTGGCATGACGAATTGTTAAAGGGGCCAAGCATGTGCACGTCGTGTTTCTGGGCACAGGAAACGCAAAAGTTCTTCGTATTTGTTTGGTATGCAGTGCGTTCTGGGCTGTCAATGGAAGAATGGTGACTGATTGGTGCAAGTCAACCAGTTTCGGTGTGTACACCTGCGGGGTGTACACCTTGGTGTGTACACCTAAGTTAGGTACACCTCGGCGTTGCTGTTATTTCGTACTTTAAGATTTAAAATTTTATTTAGGCCTACTACGTATGTATGTCTGTAGGTGTACTTTGTTTGCTTTCTATCTATGGATACTTTAACTGTGCTGACTTTATTTAATTTCGGTGGGTGGTAGTGCAAGTTTTTCGAGAACCGTTCTCTTATATCTTTAAAGTCTCAGCTTACCTCTCTGTGTACGCCTAATAACTACACAAAAAAAGAACACCTCAATCTGGACTCAATATGTACACCTAAATTTGTACACCTGAATGTTACAGTTATCACATATTATATATTTCATTAAACAAACGGCATTATCTGTTTCAGAAAATTTTCGAAGAACATGGATATACACACGACATTATTTATTAAAAGCCTTACCTTACCTATTTCTGTACGCATATTTTAAAAAAAAATTCATGATTTCGTCTATGTGCACTCAATCTCTACTTTATATCTCGGTTAACGTGATGTTGAGAAAACGTCTGTAATGATGAGAAGAAATATATTTTCCAACAATTATAAAAAGGGTGTCTTATTTGGTAATTCTTTGTATTTATTGTGGTAATTTAATTTTGCCGGTAAACGAAAAGACACATTTTCGTCTCTTTTCAACGTATCTCTTCAAAGACAGCTATTCGGCTCTATTAAAACCGCACTACCTCTTTAAATTCAATCCCTTCACCGTAACTGCCTACTTAGAACCATCATAACTTCCTCTTTTGTACCATTTTCAATCCTTTCTCATCTCTCACTCCCTGATGAATTGCTGGAACAAATTCTGGCCGCTACAAACCCAACTATAAGGGAAATAGCCCGCCTCCGTGCTGTTTGTTCTCGTTTCAACCGTATCGGCACAAGCAGGGGTTTCTATCGAGCCATTGATCCCGCCGAAATCGTGCATGAACAAGCGGCGGTTCCACATTACCCAACGATGATGAGGAGATTCCATGACGCGTGTAATCCAGGGGTTATTTTCGAGAGGGGGATGCAAGCCTACTTTTTCTTCCACGACGGTGAAGGCGTGGAATTGATAAGGGCTGCTGCGGAGGGAGGCTACGACCGAGCCCTTTTTGTGTACGGGATGTGGCTCAGAGCTGTGCCGGAAGACTTCGTCCGTGCAGAGGAGTATTTGGGCAGGCTCACGGTGCAAAACCAGAGGAGGATGAGCCGGTTGTTGCTGGCCGACGTTCCACACGGATGGAATTTCGATTTGCCAGTGGATTTCACTGAGAAAGCGGCTGCCTTTCATCCGAGATTCCTTGCGCTGTACACTTGTCACTGCGGGGTTATCAATTACTGGCTCCAGTGGTTTGCAGAAGACTTTAAGCAGCCAAAGTGCACAACCTGTTTCTGGGCCCAAGAGACCCAAAGGTTCTTCCGTTTCATTAGGAACGTCGTTCCAAGCTGGCCGTTCATGCTCGATTGGTGAAAGCCGTAATTTTAGTATTTGCTTGCATTCGTGTCTCTTTAATTATTGATGTTGTCTACGTGTTCCAAACTACAACTGATGTTTTTCAAATTGCTTGTCTGCTTTCGGTTTTTAGTTGGAACTCTTACTTTTGTATAAATATAATCTACGGAGAATTAGTAGTTGATTTTATGATATTTATGGTACTTATGTTCGTAAATGTAGTAATTAATCATCAAGCTCTTAAAAGGTTTCGTATCAACATGAAAGTGCCAAAATATAATTTCGTCTAGGGCAGTAATTAATTATGTACACCTCTTCACTGTAATTATTTATGTACACCTATTACCGTATACCTATAGACGTACACCTACTTACGTACACCTACTTACGTAATTAAACATCAAGGTAGGATATCATTTCGTCTAGGGCAGTAATTAATTATGTACACCCCTTCACTGTAATTATTTATGTACACCTATTACCGTATCCCTATAGACGTACACCTACTTATGTATACCTAAAACCGTAAACCTAAAGACGTACACTTACTTACGTAATCGGGGTCAGATATAGATTGGAAACATAAAACAGGTTGAAAATATAATAACATTACACATTTTTAAAGAACGATTAATACTGGAACGTAAACGTACACTATAATTGGTATACGGGTTCGTAAACATACACCAACATTGGTATACGTGATTGTAAACCCTTTTTTTGACATAAGGCTGTTAAAGATAAGGCTGTTATAAAAACTTCATATTTATTTTACAAACAAGCGACAAGCGAGCATAGCACATCGATACTAAAGCATTTTTGTTATACGTTCTGCCGAACATCTAAGATAACAATTTTCACATGTAACAATATAATGCACATTCTCCTGATACACTTCGCACGACGCAGAGTTGTCTTCATAAATGAGACTAGGGTACCTGAACTTTTCCTTGTATGTATGTTTATTATGTGGGCAAAATGACCAGAATAAATCTACTATCTCTGCGGCGACTTCAAGAATTTCACGAGAATCATGAGGATAGTGGTACATGAAAACCATCTTCAGAAGTTTTTTCCCTCTGTTAGGGCGACCCACGCACATTTGCAAAATCGCACAGCTGAAAGTCGCATAGACGTCTGATGGCACGAGCTTATTTAGCATCCTGATGGCGGTGTAGATCTTCTCCTCTGTTGACACGAACCTTATAACTTCGACCAATATGGCCCGTGGATTTCTCGACGCTAAGCAGCGCAGGAATAAAGGCCGATATACTCCACCAGGGTATATCTGAGATGGTGTGTCATGCAATGTCCATAGGTATGCCGATCTGAGTACTTCCGTGCTATACGCAATGTCTCTACCACGGGTCCCGGCCAGAATAATCGGTCCAAGGTCGATGCAGTCAGACTCAGCAACTTTCTTCACAATGATTTCGAAAATATGATCTGATAAATCTGGTAAATCGGGCATTTTTTGGGAAGGATATAGGGTTTGTGTAAGGTTTGTGTAGGGTGAACTTTCTGCGCAATTTTATGAAACTATATATTGAATTCCATGGGTAGTTGTTGTTGAGAAATAGTTAATGGTAAGACAATTAGTGTGTAGTTGAACAGAAGTAATATTACAATAAGTTTGTGAAGTGATGTTTACCAACTACAGAAATTAAAGATGTAGTTACATTGTTACAACTAGTTAAGTTGTTAGTAGCTACTTGTTACAACATCCATCGCCAAGTGATTTTCACTTAGTTTCCACCTTGAATTTATTACAAAATAAAACAAGCACTTGCAATTTAAATAATTAAACTAAAGTAAATATCTTATGCGCAGAGTCGTGCATTGTAGAAGGCAATACTCGCAGTCTGGTGTATTTGAGCCATCGTAATGGTCATCTACACACTCCGATATAGGTTCTTCTTGTAGGGTGATGGGGAAGGACCAAAGGCTACCCCACGGATCTTGAAACGGCCCCAGTGCGAACTCCCATACGTGACGTATAACGGCGTGCGCTAACAGCTTCATTTCATAAGCCGCATAAGGGACGTGGTGAGTGAATACATAGGTGAGGAGTTTTTTAGCCCTTCGTGGACGACCGACGCAAATTTCAAACATGGCACATGCGAAAGTAGCATGTTTATCAC